TTCTTCTCTGAAAATGACAGTTTACAGACTGCAGCCAGGCTGAATGAGCATGCTGATTAAAATCTGGTTCAAGCAGCCACCAATTTTCAAACATGAAAGATCTTTTAGGCCTCCTGTTCTTCGGATTGAGAATGGCAATGATGGGAGCATGATCACTATACAACATGGGCAAGTGATAAACAGTGGTATTTGGATAATTAAAACACCATTCCACATTTGCAAGACATCTGTCCAACCTTTCCAAAACCAGATCCTTACCCTGTTGCTTATTGGACCAAGTGTAAGCTGGACCATTATAACCCATATCCATAAGCCCCAGATTATTGACATGATGCTTAAAAATATTAATACGATTCTGATTAGGAGGGGCCAAACCATACTTTTCATTAGCATGCATGATCTCATTAAGGTCTCCCATACAAAAGGTAGGTTTGTGACTACTATGTACAACAAAAGAGGAGATTTCACTCCACATGGCACTAGTGGCCCTGTGACTAGGATCACCATAAATACAAAGAAGATTGAAAATAGGACCAGAGTTCTTATAGACTCCATAAGCTAAGATATAATTAATACTAGACTGAACTATAGTAAGATCCATGTCTTCATCCCACATCAGCCACAGACCACCAGAAGCTTGATCAACAGGAACCACATGACTATTAGCTACATGAAAATGATGGATCAGATCAGAAGCAGTGACTTTAGAGCTTTTTGTTTCTGAAATAAAGATTACCTTAGCATTAGTAGAGTATATTAGGCGTTGGAGGTGTTGCATTTTCCTACTGCCGAGGTGACCCCCCATACCTCGGCAGTTCCAGCTTAAAAGACTCATGGCGCCCTTGACGCCTTATGGGCTGGCGCCATTGCCCATCCATCATTCTTTCCACTTCCATCTCCACCGTTTCCAGCACTGGGATCAACAAGCTGAATCTCTGAAACATTGCATTCCCTAGGATCTGTAGCCAGTATCAGCCTGGAGCTAGCTCCAGCATCACTTGCACCACCCCCTTGAGTATCTCCAGCAGCTTGATCAACAAAGATATCATGATGCACCTCCAAAGCACTCCAAGTATGCTTCCTGCTATGAAAATTGTTAATGCTTTGAGGGGATCTTGGAGCATCTCTTTGAATGACATCAGAATGAGCAGCAGCAAGAGGTCTCCAAGAAGTGGAGGTCACCATTCCACCACCATAACCTCCTCTCTGATCCCATCTTGTAGCTCTCTGCCCACCTCTTCTACTTGGAACCCTGATTGGTGCTGAATGATGGTTAGTTGGAGAAGCTCTTCTTGATTCAATCCCTCCATGTTCTTCACCTCCCACAATCGAGAAGGAAGAGGTAGCTGAAGTAGTTGGGGAGCAATGGCGTTTGGTAGATTCATGGGCTGCTTCATGAAACCCTCTCTTCTTACTTAAATGTTGTGAGGCTGTCTCATAAATCTTGGTAGCTCTTGTGCTTCTTCTGTGTTGCACTTCGTTGGTGCCAATAGCAGGGTTAACTAAACTGTTCTGATGGGCACTTGCACTGGGTGAAACTCGGTGAACCAATGGAACAGACTGGACTGGTTCCATCTGATGCACCTTACCAGCAGTATTGACATTCTTTGAGTTGCAGCTGACATGATCCTCTATAGTACTTGAAACCAGCTTCTTTTTCTCTGTACTTCCATGTACTAACATCTCTTCGGTACCAACTTCTGGTGTACTTTGTATATCAGGTTCTTTGTCTTTTTTCTCACATTGTTTGCCTACTGTGGTAGTGTGAACAGCTTGACTTGGGGGCCCTTGAACAGTGCTGCAACCAGCTAAAGTCAAAGCTTTCTCACTCGCTTTTTTCCAATCTAGCTTGGGCATTAATGACTGGCTGGTCCCACTTCCTCTCTCTTGCTGCTTCTGCTGTTCTTGAATGTTCTTGAATTGAGGAGAAGAAAAATGTTGCCTGAATTTTTCCACAATTGAATTTTTGTTGGATTCCTCCATATCCAAAAATGCCTCTGATGGCATATAATCGATCTGAGTGATCCACTTTCCTAGTTTATCTTTAAGATCTTCCTCGGATGCATCTGGAAATTGAATGATAATTCTTTGTCTTTGAGGACAGACCTGAACATTATGGAAGAGGAGACCACAAAAAGTACATATTATGGGAGTTCTTTCATAATGCAGAAAAGCTTTAAGTTCAGATTTATCAGGAAGCTCCAAGATAACATGATCAGGAACTGGTTTTTCCACATCAATCCTGATTCTAATAGAAACAAATTTCTGATTCCTCAGCAAACTATCTGGATCTATTGGTTCAGCTTTTGAGATTTGACCTATGTTTTCAGCAGCCAACTTGACATTCTTAACATTTCTAAGACTTGGGGGAATGCCATAGATACGCACATTAACCATAAGATGCTTGAAAGTGTAAGCTGACATAGGTTTAATTTTCTCATCCAAAGAAACCCATTCAAGCAGAAAAACATCACTGCCAAAAGACCACGGTTGCTTTTGCCAAACCCAGGACAGATCTTCATAATTACGAAAATGAGCCATAAAGAGATTGCTTTCTACCTGAGAGATGTCAAGATAAACTCTTTGCCAAGCTTTTGCCATTGATTTCTTCAAAGCCTCCAAAGGGATCTGCCTCTGCTGGCCTCCAGAATGTCCAACCTTCATGAGGAGGTTGTGAGTGGCTTGAACTGTTGCCGTTTCAGGAGACTGTTGCAACCTCACTCTGATCTCCTTTGTTGGTGTGATTGTCATCGCTTCCAGAGAGGTGGCAATCTCTGGAAGTTGAGAGTGGACTACTTCATGCTCATCCTCCAGGGGTGGATCCCCATCCAGATCCATGACCCCCTACGAACGCCAAAGCAGAACAAAACAGGAAGGGGAAGAAGAAGGTAAGGAAGAGGGATTGAACGAGGGAATGTGGAATAGAATGTGGATGAGGAGGACTAGGTTAGCATTGAAGAGGAAAGAGGGAAATTGAAGAAGATGGGAATAGGGCAGCAAAGGGCTGACTACAGTATACACTGACTTACGGCATAGAGCCGACCCTCGTTCACAAGATCGAGGTTTCCAACCCTGAAATCGACCAATAGGATTGCCAATTTACCATTGGGATTGCTTATGTCATTGGCAGTTGCCTTTGTTTTTTCTTCCTTGCAGCCCCTGTATTGATGAACTAATAAAAATCCCATCAACAATAAGCACAGTACTACATCACGATCACAACAATCCCACTCAGATTTTATTTCACCGTACTACTCAATTACTACTATTATTGATCGTCACTAGCAAGATTTCCCAAATTTAATTACTGGGAGCCACCGACAAGAAGAGTACTAGTGATCGATGGATGGTTTCCATGGATTGTGCAACACGTGCATACATATACCTCATTTTTTTTCAAACATAAAACATTCATTAATAACATAATAAGAGAGTTTAGGGGAACAAATCCTAGTACATCGCCAAATTGATTAGCTGAAAGTAACCAGCCATCTGATTCCAACGAACAGGAAACTACACTAAGGTTGCAAACTTCCTATTGAAATCAAGCAACAATAGAGGTGCAAATCGATAGGGAATTGCAACGTTGCCACAACTATTGCATCCTTAGGCCTCCTTTAACATACACACCGCTTAATAACCTGTAATCCCTTTTGTTGGCCTCCATAAAAAGCACAATTGAAGGTTTGTTGATGAACTACAAATTTTCTTGTGGGCTTCACCAGGCTCAGCAGGAATTCTCCACGGAGTTCGCCACTGAATCTAAGGAGCTTGAGCTCAACACAAACAACAAACCTTGCATGAACAATGCTGCTATAGGAAACAAATAGATAGAATGTACCCAAATCCAGTCACCCATAAATACCGAAGAACTTAAATGGTGGCGAACGAACTGCTATCTATGTAGATGGACATATGAGGTTGGAAAGTGGAAGTTTGTAAATCCTGACTTCTAGAGCGTAGCCAGTGGCAGTTCTGCAAAGTTAGTTTTCCATCGGGAAAATTCCATCCATACAACAAAGGTTTCAATGGTACCAGATAATACCACAAAATCCTTCCACTTGCCAGAATTAGCACAAAATTGACGGAGTGACGGGAGAATGACGGAGTTAGTTTTGCGATGGGATCACCCCCACAATCTACTTCTCTCATCTGATTCGCTCATGCAGCCCTCACTCATTTCTCTGCTCCGCCGCCGGCCGCCACAGTGTGAAATCTGAGCAGGGGGACCGAGCCAGTGTTACATCTCGCCTGATGCCACTTTTCTCCTCCACAATCGTACCCTCCGCAAACCGCTGGCGTCCGTGTTGCGCCGAGAGTGCTACGGCCTCCATTCGGGCAGGTTAGGCGCATGCGTCCTGGGCATCAGGGCACGTGTAGGTTCTTCTATGCTGCATTGCAGCCAATTGATTCGTCAGTTCCTGGACAGCGAGCTGCACAAAATTTATCCAGGTGTGCCTCCTGCTGTCCTACACACTACCGCTGCCGCCGGCAATGATCGAGATTGAAAACCCGTCCCAATCTTGCTCCCAGGGCATCTCTGTAATCTTGGTAAAGTTTGTGGTATATTTTCGAAAAAAACACTTCCCCATTACGGGATTTGGATCAGGTGCAGTTTGTACTATGACTGCAACTTATGCAGTCCATTGCCACCTGTTAGATCCGAATCTAACGGTTCACATGCACCCGGATACTGTAGATCACTGTAGCAAGAAATATTTAGTATTTTTGCGCTAGTACTGTAGCTGATGATCTGGTCCATTCATCACCAAAATGGACGGCTGAAATCGCATGCAGTGGTTTATCTTGCGGTCGCTATTCCTACTGCAGATGATCCCAATCCCCCATTACGGTAATTCTGAAAGGTGGAAGAATTTCGTGGTATTAATTGTTACCGTTGAAATATTTGTGGTTTATGTAGATGGAATTGTCCCTTTTTCGTCTATAAATTGAGCTTCAGGGTAACCTGCTTCTGTCAAAAAAACACATTCAGAGTTTTTAGTCATCAAAAAAGAAAAGAAAAAAAGAAAGATGGTTTTCTTGCTCGTCTGCATGTGCTCGCTTCTTCTCATGTTCTTGATTTCATACGCGTTACAACTGTTTGGCGACGCCCGCCGCCGTCTTCCACCTGGACCAACACCGCTTCCGCTCATCGGCAACCTCCTCGACATCGCCAGCGACCTCCCGCACCGCTCCCTGGCGCGCCTCGCCGGGCGGCACGGCCCGCTCATGGCGGTCCGGCTTGGCACCGTCGTCGCGGTCGTCGCCTCGTCCTCGTCGACGGCGCGCGAGGTCCTCCAGACGCACAACGGCAGCCTCACCGGCCGCGTCCCGCCGGACGCGTGGCACGGCGTCGGGCACGCCGCCAACTCCGTGTTCGTCCTCCCGCCGCGCCGCAAGTGGCGCGCGCTGCGGAGGATCGGCGCGGAGCACCTGCTCTCGGCGAGGCAGCTCGACGGCCGGCGGCTCCTGCCGCTGCTTCGGGACGCTGTGCTCGACCTGCTCCGCCGCGTGTCGGAGATGTCGGCGGCGTCGGGTGGCGGCGCCGGAGCGCCGGTGCAGGTCGGCCACGCCGCGTTCGCGGCCATGATGGACATGCAGTGGCGCGCCATGTTCTCCGCCGGCCTGGAGGACGACGACGCGCGCGTGCTGCAGGACGCGGCGAGGGAGGCCGTGGCGCTGTCGCTGAAGCCCAACCTCTCGGACTTCTATCCGGCGCTCGCCGCCGTCGACCTGCAGGGCCTGCGGCGGCGCTTCGCCGGGCGGGTGGGGACGGTCTACCACCTCGTCGACGAGCAGATCGAGCGGCGGATGCGCCGCCGGCGTGAAGCAGCTGGCGACGACGGCGAGGCCAGGAGCGAGGACGACCTGCTAGACGTGTTGCTCGACATGTCGGAGCATGGGAAGGACGACGGTAAGGTGGCCATCGACAGAGACCTGATCAGAACATTTCTCACTGTAAGTAAAGCACCAAACTGTATTTCTTTCTCTCGTGCATATTTTTCTCTCGCGTACGTTTTTTTTTTCAATGCTACATGATGACACACGCCGACAATTAATTAGTGGCAATTGCAGATTTGCAGGTATCTGCAGGTATATAGTTATAAGTCAGCTATAACCACAAATGAAGAAAAAAAATATATAAAGATTGGTCGTTCTAGTGTAAGAGCTGACTTTATACATATAGTGCACAATTGTCACATTAAATATATAAGTGAGATAAAAGAAAGAGAAGGAAAAAAAAGTGGGTTTGTAGCTACTGAGTAGTTCTATTATTGCAAAGTCATGATGTTATATTACAAAATTTGCCTTTAATCTTTACTTATTATACAAAAGGGGTAGTACGGTACGTGTGATATTTTCAAAAAAGAACTATTCACTCCATCCTAAAATATAGAGTAATAAACACGTTTTTTTATATTTCATAAGACAAATCGTGCATACATGCATACATCCCTTTCTTTTAAATTTGTTTTGTTAGTCCTACATCCTCAAGATATCTCCTATTGGGTGCATGTAATATCTTGCCCAATAAGGATGCGACATGTGTGACCCATGAGTGTCGTGTGCTCTTTGCTACCACATTGCTAGTTGAGTAATAGTAGAACCAGCTTATAAGACATTGTCTCCCTAACTATAATATATCATTTTCGGGTTAACTCTTGTACATAAAGCGGTGACGATAGTGTAAGTGAGGTGCTATGTATAAGTTGGCCCGTCGGTTGGATAGGCTAGGTTGCACAGTTCTGAAGGATGGGTTGTTACCGTGCATGTATTATATTTAGTAAGGTGATCTAAACGTGGAGATGGAAATAATTATTTTTTAAGATAGATGGGTACTATAGATACCAATAAATCCGTGTGCTGCTATTGCAGTTTAGTTGGATTTTTTTTATTTTGCAAAAGGTATAGCTGGAAAATTAGTAATTCATGAGTTCTACCATACTAGCATAATATAAATAATTAATCAAGGTGGTTGTATAAATTATATATAGACTTTTATTACCAGAAAAGTCACCATGCAAATATCTATGAATTTTTCTAAAAAAAAACTAGTATGTGGATTAAAGTCTGGTTTACAACCGTAACTACTGTACCGAATATTTTACACCCTCTGTAACCACGAGAATGCCATCTTTCCGAAATACACATACCCAAATGCCACTCTCACAAATTTTCATTCATATTTGCCACCTGGGCCCACATGTCCGCCTCCTCCCCGGATCCACATGGGTCCATAAGGTCAGCAAATGGGAAGGGGGACTGACATGTGGGTCTGATTACCTGAGAATAAAAATTTGGGAGAGTGGCATTTGGGTATGTGTATTTTGGGAGGATGACAAATAGTGAATTAGCCTAGACCAATAATCAAATTAGAGGCGGTTTTACATGGCATCCGACGCGGAAACAAAATTCATACTGGGGCCTAGTTGAATTTCTATCTTATCTTCTCTTCTTGATGGCATTTGTGGTCATGCAGTCCTACCCCGACGCCTTCCTTTGCATGGGAAGCCAGCTCTCCATTAGATCAAGTGGTTGCCTAGGCTTCATCACTGTCACCTCCACTACGAGTGTGATCAATGTTTGCAAAAATGACTGATGCTGATGGCTCTGCCATTGCCTGAACAGTGCACAGAATGTCGCCGCCAACAGGGTCCCTTTCCTTTTCCTCCTATTCCACTCAGCATCAACATCCTCGCGTGAACCCAGAATTTGGGTAGGCCCCGAGCCAGCCCATTATACTTTTGGCCTATCTATCAAATACATGGTAAATTTACACGTGTCAACATGGGTTTTATCCACCGGGCCACGGGCCATGACCCAGGTGGCCCGTGGTTTGGATCCGTCACTGAAACATACCCTCTTCCCCTCTCCGCTCCTCTCTTTAGGCCTTTGTCATGCGATATCGACGAGCTTCAGGTCTGAATTAGATGGACAGTAGATATGCTTGGCGAGGACCCCTATTGTGGTGACATCCGACAGATCCGAATCAAGAGAGGCGAGGAAGAAAAAGGGGGTCCTTGCCAACTTTTTTTACAATTATTTATGTAACATCAATTATTTATGTAACATAAAAGAAATACAGGGACATATATATCCAACTTCCAACTATGTCCCTTTACTACCAATAAGTTCGTTAATGTCATCGTAGTAATTGTTTTAACAATTAATCCAATTAAATCCATCAATTTCAGGACATATTTCTGGCGACAGTCGACACGATTGCGAGTACACTCGAGTGGGCAATGGCAGAGCTACTACAGGACCGAGAGACCATGAGAAAGCTACAGGAAGAACTCAAGAAGGTTCTCGGCTCCAAAACTCATGCTGAATACGCCGATATGGACCGTCTTCCCTACCTCCGGGCAGTCATCAAGGAGACGCTCCGGCTGCACCCGGTGGTGCCGATAGTGCCCAACGTGGCCGAGGAGATGGTGGAGATACATGGCCACGTCGTGCCCAGGGGGAGCACCATCCTGGTGAACCTGTGGGCCGTGCATCGCGACGCCGAGGCGTGGCCGGAGCCGAATAGGTTCCTGCCGGAGAGGTTCATGCTCCGGCAGCATGGCCAGGAGGCCGCCGGCCGTGCCCTGGGTACGGCGACGACGGAGTTCGGGCTGATCCCGTTCAGCGCTGGGAGGCGCGTCTGCCTCGGGCTGCCACTCGCGACAAGGATGCTGCACGCAATGCTGGGGTCGCTGCTGCATCGCTTCGAGTGGACGCTCCCGTTGGAGGTGGAGGAAAATGGTGTGGACATGTCGGAGAATCTTGGGTTGACGATGACCATGGCCACCCCGCTGCAAGCTATAGCCAAGAGCATCTGATGTCTGCGTCTGAGCCACGTGCGGGTGCATGTTTATCTACCAATTAAATAATTGCATTACAAACTTTTTTTTTAAAAAAAAAACACAGTATAAACGCAAGAACGGTACCTGCTTAATGATGATACAACCCATTACAAACTGGTCCTGCACATATGTACGATGATACTATGTAACCCATTATATACGTACTTTTCGTAGACTATATGTAGAAGATTGAATGAAGGGCAGCATCTGACATGTATTTCCATCTGCAAATTAATACAGTCAAGTTTCACTAACTAAAATATTTAGCACAAATGCGACACAAAATTGTGATGTTTCTTAAGAAACTGGATGATTTTCTGAAGTAAAAGCCAATCCATTCATTCTATATGATTGGTACACACTGTATCACTCATTGCTATAAAGCTGACTTTAGTTTCAGCCACACCACCCCCAAAAAGCTGGCAGTCTAAAATTATACCCGTTCCGTTGCTAATAAAAAGAAAATAAAAACCTTGGTGGACTATTAATGTAAAATCATCTTGATGTAATTAACTGAGTCTAAATAAAGCTTCCATTATCTAAAAAAAATTATCTGTGCAAATGAGGAGTCAAGGCTTTTTTCACTTTCCCAGTGCTGCCTAGATTTATAAGCACAACCGTTTCGTGAGCAATTGTGTCGCGCCCCGAGATTCGAGAACCCGAATCACCGGCTATCTGTATATTTAATCTCTGTCCAGACATCAACCAAAGTACACAGATGATAATTTGATACAGTTTCATGTCTTACAAAAATATAAAATAAACTCAGAAAAGCAGCGGAAAAAACTAAAGATCATCTAAACTTAATATGCTCGGCAAAGAGAAGCTTCCCCCATAATCCCCAGGCAAAACCTCGACGTCTGGCACAAGTCTAATCTTCATAGAACTCACCATCCGACAAATTCACTGCCTCTGGGGATTGGGAAAATAAAGCAAGATTGAGTACAACCACTGTACTCAACAAGTCATACCAATGAGAAGGTATGATGCAAGGATATCGAAGGAATGGCTCATAGGATATTTGCAGTAAAAGTAGCATTTATAAATCATAAGTTAAAAACAGTAAAGCAGAATATAATTTAGTAGTATTAACCTCATGACTGTCCAACGCTAAAACCACGTTGCGACAGGCCCCACCTAAACCACCTAAACTACACCAGTTCATTAAGTCAAATTATTAAGGTGAGACTAATCACGGTGAGATGGTTGACTGTCCAATAACCGCGGGCACGGCTATTCGAATAGTTTTACTCTGATCAGAGGTGTACAACTTTACCCGCAAGACAAGATTCCACACATGTTACCATGCCCCGAAGTACCACCAAGATACTGCAATGGGGGAAATCGTGACAAAACTCTCCATATAACCACCCCTAACCAACACACCCACCTCCACTTTCACCCCCATCCCTATACAGGCGATGGGCAATCCTCGCTCGTGCCTAGGTAAATCCGGAAGCAGCATAGACCAAAATCCAGGTCCATCCATACTCCATCACGCCCACCCTTGCTAACGATGTGTTAGCTAGAAAAGATTCAGGAGAAAGTAATAGCTTGTCAAGCAACTGAAGAAATTTGCTGTTGGGAACTGAAGAAATTGCTCGGTTTCACACTTTCACTTGCCCCTGTGATCAGACAGACCTGATAGCTACAATAACTTTGCAAACTAAACTAAAAAATATGTCTGACAGTCTCAAGCACACTGCCTGACTGACTCATTCTTCATTTCAGGTGTTAATCCAACTTGCATTGGCATTTGGAGAAACATATATGGTAGCAGAGTGCCATTCTCATATGACTGTCAAAAAGTTTTGTCCATCGGAATCCTTATCATGCAACTCTGAAAAATGTCAACAGAGACCAGCTTAGCTTTTGCAAGAGGTAGAGGTTCCAAATTATACATAACATTTTTCAGGCGAGCTTTTGCAAGGGGTTCAAAATTATTCCTAAAAATGCAGTCAACAAAACTACTCCAGTCAAAACAAACTATGTTCTCTGACTTTTCAGTCTAGGGTACGTAGTTTCAGATTCCCTGAACTAGATGATGGATCAATGCTGAACAAGATTGAAACATAATACAATTAGCACGACTATAATCAAACCATAATACTATTATTACTATATGCTAATAAATAGAAGGGAAAATATAATTTCCCCTACAACTAAGATGTATACATGTCAAATACTGTCAAACACTAAAGACGATTATTTCAATTTATCTTCCTAATAATACTTCCTCCTCCTGACTGATTCTTCTTCATGGCAACCCCATTCCGGAATCTTCTTCGGCCAGGGGGAGCAACTCGCGCATGAACTTTATTGTCTTCATCGCCCTTGTCATCGTCAACGACAACCTCGTACTCAGCATAGCCTTTGGTGTGGTACTGCTTAAGGACGTCCTCGGGTTTTTCACGGATGTTGAAGATGTTCTCTCGTTCATTGCGGAGGACGTCCTGTATCTTCTTCAGATTAGCCTTCTCCTTCTCTTCAGCGATTTCCATGGCATACAACTTGGCTAGATACTCCTGCGACATCCGGCCAAGACACTCCTTGCTCAGCACCTCCGTCAGCTTAAAATCGTCCTCGTCGTCGTCAGATAACTCCACCGAGTTCGCAAAGCAGTACTGAATTTGGTCTTGAGTGTAGCGCACCATCTTAGTCCTCTTTTTTTTCTCGTTGGTGGGATCAATCGCCGTGGCCGGAACTTTCCCTTCACTTCTTTCCTCCTTAAAGCTACTCATTTTCCTTCCCTCAGATGGATCCATCAGCAGCGCGGGAATTGCTGTGGAGAAACCGAGAACAGCATCAGATCAGAAACGAGAAAGTAGGCCACTTTTATCAACTATCAGCAGCGGAAGATCATCGATCTATCCCAAGTTCGCACAAAATTATCCAAATCCAGATCGAGAGATTTGACAATGAAAAGGATCGAGCGACACCTAATCCAGATCAAAGCGCGCACCTGATGAAGGAGACGGAGCCGTAGCCGCCGGAATTGTGGCTTATTCCCCCTTCTCGTCTCGATTGAGACCTTAAACCTAGATTGATTGTTGTAGACTTATGGGGTCGGGTGGAGAGGAGCACCGCCCCTACCTGAGTATATACTACTCAAGAGTCAAGACAGCTCCGATTACAAATTACAATCGAGTTCGGTCCCAAGTTGGCGGCGGATACACAGCGAGACACCATATTAAATCCATAGCCACGTTGCTCATGGCGGTCCGGCTTGGCACCGTCGTCTCGATCGTCGCCTCGTCTCCGTCGACGGCCCGCCAGATCCTCCAGACGCACAACGGCAGCCTCACCGGCCGCGTGGCACGGCGTCGGGGTCGGGCACGCCGCCAACTCCGTGTTCGTCCTCCCGCCGCGCCGCAAGTGGCGCGCGCTGCGGAGGATCGGCGCCGAGCACCTGCTCTCGACGAGGCAGCTCGACGGGGCCTGCATGCCGCTGCTGCGGGTCGGAGATGTCGGCGGCGTCTGGCGGCGCGCCGGTGCAGGTCGGGCACGCGGCCCACGCCGTGTTCGCGGCCATGGTGGACATGCAGTGGCGTGCCATGTTCTCCGCCGGCAATTAATTATTGGCAATTGCAGATTTGCAGTTATCTAGCTATTGCAGAGGAAGAAAATGGCATCTGGTTAGTTCGCAAATGCAACCGAAAGGGTTCGATGGCGCACGGCGCGTGGCTATGGAACATGCAAGGCAAACAGAAGCATGAGAGGAAGCAAAAACAGAAGCATGAGAGGATTTTATGGACGGGTGTACTATCGACTCACATTCCATTATAGTGAAGCACGGTGATGATTCACTACTAGAAAAACGAATTTTAGTGACGTTTGCCATTTCTTTTCCAGGCAGGTATGCACATCCGAACCACAACACCACCTAAGAAAATGTATCCCGAGGCTAAGGTTGTGGTCTGACTACGAAGATCTATATTCCCAGACGGACCACTTATATTATGTGGATCGCCTGGGAATATAGATCTTCACAGGCGCTGCGATTATTTTAGGCGGGAGACTTATGTCGTCCGTCTGCGAAGATCTATCTTCACAGGCACCTAATTTCTGTCGCCTACAAAAATCCAGCTATATAGCCTTCTTTCTCTTCGAGCCCCTGTTTACATACGAGGTTTTTCTCTCTCCGAGACCAACCAAAATATAGGGGGGAGATTTTGAACTACAAATCTTTGAGGGATCTTTCTAGAGTGGTTAAATCTATACATTTCCACTCTTGCTACACATTTTTTTTATAATTTAAACCACCTTTTGTGATGGATCTATGCATGCAAAATAGTGAAGCAAAGGGAAGGGTGTGGTAAGTTAGGGTTGTGAGGAATGGGGAATTGGCTGTTGACTGGTTCCTTGGATATTATGAACTAATATATTTGGTTCATGGCGTGGTGGGCTTGGTCTGTGGGCCTTCGTGGCTGCGTGTGAGGTGAGCCCGAGGAGTATTTTTTTTGGTAATAGTGTAAGCTTACTGCAACAACTATTTATTTGTTGCCATACCTTATGTATAATCTCTACTATTATGAAAGTTGAAAACATTTTTACAGGTATTTTGATACGTTATCCATATTTGAATCGGTTTTAATTTTATGTTTCGGTTTTAATCATCTCTACTATAAAAAAGACCAAGAAATCACCGTCGTCTGTAGAAAAAAAAAGTCCGACTCAAAAAAAAAAGTAGAAAAAAATAAAAAAAATGTCCGACTCAAAAAGTGATTAAAAAAAAGCTTATGTGGCCAGTAAGAAAAAACGTCCGACTACCGTAAAAAAAGATCCGTTTGGTTTTCTTGACACCGTTATTTTTACCCATTTTTTTTCACGTGAAGGAATTTTTTTCTGCGCACGCGCTGACGCTTTTGGTTTTTTTTCCGGTTTTTTTAATCCGATCTGTTACCTTTTTTTCCGTAATTTTTTTTGTCACCAGTTTTTTCTCCCGTGCGCCTTTTGTTTTTTAATCCGACCTGTTCTCTGCACACCTCCCGCCGCCGTCATATCAAAATTGCGTTTTCTCCTCCAATTTAATCGCAAAAATCGATTCCCCACTCCTCCCTTTCGATTCGGCTTTAATCTCCGTTTAACAGTTGCTGATGATGCAACGATCTTCCACGGTCGTTTTTATCCTGAGTTTTACGCTAGAAAAAAAAAGGAAAGAGTAGATCGAGTGATCAAAAACTTTCAATCATTTTTCGTTTTTATCTTGAGTTTTACGCTATGATTTTGGAAAAAAACGAAAAGAGTAGATCGAGTGGATAAAAACCCTCAACCAATTTTGGGTGATTGCTCCAGCAACCGTACGGGCACGGGACTATCTTCGAGAGGTTGAAGATGGTATTGGACTGTTCGAGCTGGTCTTATGGGGTCCACTTGTGGCTGGGTCAAAGGAAAGCAGGCTAAACGGAGGGAGGTAGTGGATTGGCCATGGGCTGAAAAGAAAGAAAGGCTTTCGGCCCAAAACCTAGGAAAGATTTTCATTAACTTTTTTAAGAGCAAGTTTAATAGTACAGCCAACTATTAGCTTCAATTCATTTATAGCCAATTTAATAGCTCATTTATATAATAGTTACATACTACATTGTCAATAACTGGTCTGACATGTCATACATACACTGTGTCTTAGAGTCCGTACTACAGCTGGCTACAAATCTGTAGCCCGCTGCTCTTCTCTCTCCTTATTTATCTCCTTAAAATATGTTTGCAGCTAGCTTACAGCTTGCTATTGTACCTGCGCTAATTAAAATCTATAACAATACCAGTGTTAGGATTTCATTAACCTTTTCAATTATAATGTATAATGATCCCAATAATTTAATTTATTGCTCAGCTCTTTTACCCGTTGCAATGTACGTGTATTTTTATAGTACAACAAAAAATTTAAATAATTACGACACTAATATATTGTGGCAAGAAATTGTAATTGCTACCACGGAGATTAAAATCGTGGCTGTAGTACTTTTGTATTGCAACAGTAATTTTTATCGTTGTAATAGCCCATTTTTCATTGCAACAAATTCCAAAATATCACAACAAATTTATATTGTGGCGATATATTAATATTAAATAAAAAAATAAAATTGTGGTAGCTGAGTAACTAATTGTAACAATTTATATGTCCTTGCAATATATATGTGGCAATAGTTAATTTTTCCTGTAGTGTGGTGAGCCCTTAAATTGATGAGGAGTCCAGCTGCCAGCAATCGCTCAAGGTTAGATCAGAAATGATCTACGTCGTCGATCTGCCCGATCGCCACGGCGATCCGATGCTTCGTGTGATGCTCCAACAGCCCATCCGACTGCCACATCACCAAAGAGCCAGCAAACCATGGATCGACCAGCATCAGCACATTCCATACTCCAATCCTGTCCACGACGCGATTAGCATTGAGAAGATGACCGGCAAAAAAGAATTACTCTTCCTCCGTTCTAAAATATAAGTATTTTTAAAATTAGACACGGTTATTAAAAAAATAGATAAAAGCAAACGGTAGAGAGTTGTGATTGGTTGAGTAGTAGAGGTAGGTAAGAAAAGTGAATGGTGGAGAGTTGTGATTGGTTGAGAAGAAAATATTGGTAGAGAAGTTGTTATATTTTGAAATAAATCTTGAGAGTTAAAAGTTATTACATTTTGGGACGAAGGGAGTACCATATTGCAGGACCACTGCGTCGTCGTGGCTTGCTCCTACTTCTACCACGTTGCTGCTGCCGCAACCAAGGATCGCATCGTGGCTCCCCAAGGCTATCGACGTCCGCAGCTTCTATCGCATCCCACACCTCCCACCGCTGGCCGCCACTCCATTCCTCAGCTTTGCTTCCGGCCGTCGCAATCGAGGATACTAAAGCCGGGTGCTGTCGCTGCCGCATGTAGGAAATAGAAATGAGGAGGGAAGAGGATGACAGGACAGGAGGATAAAATAGACATTTCACACCCTACATACATACTAGCAATCTCATTTATCCCGCCACGTAGGTAAAATTGGCATAAACTTAAGAATTTCTCTCTTTTTGATGACAAATTAGTAAGCGCAAATCTAAAAAGAATATTTGAATAATTGTGAAATGTAAAAGTGATAAATAATTAAATTCCCCTTTTTTGCGTGGCTTTAGTGAAGGCCTTTGTTTGTTTTAGGGCTGATACGACCAATTCATAGCCAAAAACATTTTATACCAGGGAAATGCATAAGAAAGATTTTCTTTTTTATTTTTTATATCTTAAGAAGGTAGTAGAACAATTTTTTTCTTCGAAAAAGAAATACTCGATTTCTTTCGCGCGGCGCTGCTGAACCCACCACCGCAGCAGCCAGCCAGCCGCAGCCCTCACCCAAATATCTTCAGCTCATCGCTCGCCACGTGTCCACGCTCCACCCCAACCCCTCATCTCTCTCCATGGCCGCGCCCGCGCCGCCCACGCCGGCGGCGAGCCCCGCCGCGCGCGCTTCCGTCGTCTTCCCTACCATGGCGGACATCATGTCTGCGTCGCGCGCGCAGGGCCTGCGCGTGCGCCTCACCACGCTCGGCCCCTTCTTCCGCGTCACCGCGGCGCGCCGCGGCGGCGGCAGCGGCGGGGAGGGGGAGACGGAGGAGGTGGAGCTGGGCCGTGCCCAGGGCGTCGTCCGCCCGTGGCCAGGCGGCGCCGTGCTGCACCTCGACTCCATGAGGATGTCCCGCGCCACGCTGCAGGTGCCCGACCGGCCGCTGTTCGGGCTCGGCGTCTTCCTCGGCGCCGTCGCCGTGCGCCACGGCTTCGACGCCGGCTGCAAGCGCGCCGAGCTACTTGCCATCAACGACACGGATCTCTACCACTCCAAGGTACATACAACATACTATTGCAGCCTGGGCTGCTGCGTAGTGGTGGTGATATGTTGCTGCGCGCATGGTGTTCGACGAATTGCTCAAGCTGTGATTCGCTTTGATATAATTCACAAAGGAAAGCACCTTGGAAACAATGGGTAGCACAATTGATGAGAAGAAATAGTTTTGATTTGTTTATCATTTCCTAGGGTTCACCTTGTCGATAATGGCGTTATTCCCGCTGAGACAACATTTAGATTTGGATATTTGCAAGTATTGATTCACAAAATCACAGTTCCTTGTTTTGAAGTGCTGGATCTCCACATATTGCAATATTTTCGTTTCATTTTATTGGTGGACTTTTTTTGTCCTGCATTTTGTTTAAGCAGCGCGTGATGGTGTTCTTACCAGTGTTTCCTTTCTAATCAGCTCGTTAGGTTCTATTCGAGAATGGGTTTCAAAACAGTGCATGAGGTAGACGGATCTTCAATGATTGATCTTGCTCACATGTTAGTCTGGGGAGGTAGGGGCACAAGAATGGATGCTGACATTGAACAGCTTCTTATCAAATGGAGCAAGAGGTTCAGATCTCAAGACTAGAAAGAAAGTTTCTTTTTGGAACGAGAAATGCACTTCTTGTAGCATGCTGATCTGGATAGGATACCTTATGAGGTAAAATTATTTGGTCTTTATTTTACCTTGGTTTATAAAATGTTTTGTTTTCGTATGCATTTGCACTACCAAAAGCATTTTATGAAGGTTTATAGAATCTTCAATGCTATGATAAGTTCATGAATTTATCTTAGCAAATCATGAAGTACGTTTGCCCAAAAGGAACTACTCAATTCCCCCCTTTGATAAGACGTTTAGATGTATGGAAATCCATCTCCTAAATCTACCGTTACCCTCATGTCGCATCTATGTTGTTTATATTAGTTATGTTTAAAATAAGTTCATGCATTGTTGAATATGGATATAGTCCAATCATTCATGCTTTGTGAACCAAAAGTAATGTCATCCTGTTCTTTTATGTTTTAATGATTCTGCAGACCTGCTAGTTCTTATGTTTCTTTTAACCGGACTATATTTTTTTTCTTCTTTTTGGATTCCATTGATCTGGCTTCAGCATGTAATATCACAACTGGAACATGGAACTGACGTGATCTTTTGTTTTTCCAGATAGGAGTTGCGGCCTTTGATATTATACTATGTGTTCAACTCAACGGCATGATTACTGATAGGAGTATATACTTGTTTATATCATGATGATTGCCAGAAAATTCTGAACTGATAATCACTTTAATATATAAGAGTATCAGAAGACAGAACATAGTGAAGTAACCCGTTTTCTGTAAAAATCAAGGTAAAGGTGGATTAAATGAAATTCATACCTGAGGTTCCTTGTATGCTTAAAGAAAGCAGCATCATTATTTCGAATCACAAAGTTCCAGCGCTGCTATGCCGTTTCATCTTTTTGAACCAGTTTGGTTATGCAACATCAAATTACACTCTTGAAATAGCTTCATCAAATATTCAGATCGACGATGGTAACTGGTGAAATTGCCTGTCCTAGTACTTTCAGAAAGATCCACTGTGGTGATAATAACCTAGTAAGTTTGCCGTTCAATGGCAGAGTGATATCCTTTTTTACCGCATAAACTGCAGACGATACTTTGGGTGTAAAGTTGGTGTCTGTTTTGCTTTTGCATGTGCACTTCAGTACATTTATTGAGGATGGATTCTAATCTCTCGGGTGGACGTCCACCCGTTTCTTGTATTCCACCTAAATGATTATGAAAAATTTTCAAAAGAAATTCACAAGATAGGTTAATATGTAATATATCACTTTACAAACATGCAAGTTCAAATTCGACTTCTATAAGTTGTAACGAAAATAACAAATCAAACACTAACTATTATACGTATATTCACAGTTAAATTTATTGTTTTTGTTACAACTTGTAGAAGTCGAATTTGGATTTGCATGTTTGTGAAGTGATATATTACAAATTAACCTATCATGTCAATTTTTTTGAAATTTTTTCATAACCATTTAGATGACATGCAAGAAACGGGTGGACGTCCACCCGAGTGTTTAAAACAGTTTCCCCACATTTACATGTCACACACCAATGGCAATTGCTATTGGAATGGGGTTCTCTGCCTGTGGTCGTTTTCTGAATGGTCACCAGTATGCATACATTTACTGATCTACCTCTGATGAGAAAATGGCTAATCATGAAAGGAAAAAATATGGCTGCACTGCATTAAACGTTTCGAGTCCCTTCAAACTGCTGCAGCGTACCATAAACACCTACAAATGTGTTAAGCTCGCTTTGAAGCCAAACCAATTGCGAATTCCATCCTTGTTCACTAAGGTAGCACAAACGTGGAAACTTTCAGGGAGCAGTAACAAACTACCAGATAATTAGCACAAAAAAGGAGAACGAATCATGTATTGATTATAAAGAAAAAGGTAAAAACAAATAATGCTGATTTCGAGAGTCAAAATGATGCGTAAACACAATTTAGAAATCACAGATGATTGTGCAAAACAAATTCGTTGATGCACCACGATTCTACAAAACATGCTATATTTGTGCCTACTCATAGCGGCAGATAACATGACAAGTAGTAACAAACAACTATATCTACCAATGGCTCGATGCCTGATTCCTTCATCAGCAAATAGATGGTCAAAAAATGGGCCTAAACAATCCCAATGGTTAGACTCCATGGAGGGCCAAAACAGCAAGAGATTAACATGATGTCCCCCAAAAAGTTCTTTTTCCCTGGCTTAGCATAACTACCAAAACTGTACTGTTGTTTGAGGGAGCTTCTGATTCTGGGAAAAACTGCAGTAGCCAGAAACTCTCTCAAACAGAGTCTTTAGGTAGGAGGAATAATATGGCAATGGAGGCTACGATTGGTTAGGAGAAGGCATAAGCCACCATGTAGGGAGAAGTAGCAGCGAGGGGCATGAAGCCGTTCATTAAATTATACTGCCTCCGTCATAAAATAGATTTGGAGTTGAACATGATTATTTAAAAAAAATAGGTAAAGAAATATTATGATTGGTTAAGGAATAGGAAGTAGGTGATAAAGAAATTAAATGATGGAAATATACGATTGATCAAGTATACTTTACAATAAATTTTAAACACTAAAAGTTAATATATATTTAAACGAAGGAAGTACATTGAAACGTTAATATAGAATGGAAGGGATGGATGTGCATTTTCGAGGTGGATTGATCGATGGAGTTGTTTCCCTTTTGGTAAGGTTTGGGGAAGGAGGCTCGAGCTTGGTAGAGAAGATTTGGAAGCAATTACTCGTAGCTACTCTCTTCATTTTAAAATAAATTATCTTTTTATAAGATTTTAGATATATCTATGTTTAAATTAATATACGAAAATTTAATTTATTTTGGGAGGAAGAGGTAGATGGAATCATTCCTAATTTATAAAATGGTCCACTTCGAAGCAAATCACTCTTTTTTTTCTCGGTGAAGTTGTTCAGGATTTCACTCACGCGTTTGGTGGTTTGGGTCTCAAGTAGTTTTTTTTTTCTAGGCAAACCACATAAATTTAATTTTTTTGAATCGGAATTGGAAATTCTGGATATAAAAAGGTATCAAATATTATTGAATTAAAAAACAAAGCGTATAGGGTAAATATTTATTAGAATATAAAACCTTTTCAAACTGAAATTCTCGAATCCACGAAGAGTTGTACCTCAATACTTTTTCTAAAACAATAAATCACCTTTCTAATTTTTACAACTAATTGTACACTTCACTTGGAGAAAAAGAACAACTATATGCATCTGTAATTGTAATTAGTATGTATGGCATGGCCTAATAAAAATAAAAATAGTCATTAGGCAAAATAAAAATCTGAATCACTAGACTAGAAAAAAAATATCTCCATTTAATTAAGAACCTCAATACATAGTTTAAATCTGAACATTTCTCAACTACTTAAAAATTTCGTAGTGATGGTGGTGACTCCACCCTTAACAGACATGCGGAATATTACCCGTACGATTGTGATATCCAACGATTCAGATCGAGTTTCTCTTTCTCCGCATGCCGCCGCAGGCCCGATCCACGCGGCGCACGCATCCTCCCCCTTCTCTCGGTCACTATCTCCGCATCTCCGCTCCCTCGCAACCACCTCCAACGCCATCGCATCACTTCTCTCTCCAGCGACGCTCCGACGCGCTGCCGCATCCCCGTCTGGTTCCGCCACGAGGAGGGGTCGAGGCCTGAGCCCGACAGTGTGCCGGTGAGGCATGAGCCCGACAGTGTGTCGGAGTTGCGGCGGTGGATGAGGCGAGGGCGGGGTAGGGCATAGCCGCCGTGCATAGGCTGCCGCGCCGCAGTGGAACAGAGAGGAGGCGCCGCATGGTCAGGGTCGGACGCTCATCCCGCGGTGGCTGCCGATCCCGCTGCCAGGTCATCGTCGTCGCGCGATCCTGGCTGCTCCTCTGTCGCAACCCTACCGGCTCCTTCCCTGCGCCGCCGCGACCGCCTCGGTGGTGCCACGCGAGTCCATCCCGCCGACAGGTCGTCGTCACGCGATCCCGCTGGCTCCTCCGTCGCCACCTCCACGAGTCGCCATTACTGATGGCGATTTCTTCTCTATTCTCAAGTCTTCCCCATATCTAATCCCTCTTTCCTCCTCTTTGTGCTTTCTGCGTGCTCTGCCTCTCTGCTCAGTGCTATTGATTTCTTCACAAGGCTATGTAAGAAAAGGTAAGTTCAGATTACATCTAATTTGTATTTCGTGATACTGGAACAATAACAACACAAATTGCCCAATTGCGCTTAATTGTATAGAAACCATGACATCAACGAATTCAGCTTTGCAGGCTAAAGGTATGCAGAGATGGAGTATTGTGCATCTTTGGGCACGGCCACAGCAGTCGTCCTTGCTGCTATAATTGGTTTAATGGTATCTTGGACCAAATCATCTCTGGGTTAACATGATATTTCTAACGTACAAGTGTCCGCTGTCTCTTAGATAGCCAAAACACTAATCATTATGCAGACTGAATTGAGGTTAATAGCAACAAATCCTATAACAAACAAGTGTTGTGTCCATGGCTTGAGGTTGATAGCAATAATTTTTTAATTGACGCAGAATGTTAGAATGGAAATGTTAAGTTTGCTTTAGTCATTGTTAAATGTAGGTAATTTTTTTTGGAATGGTCAACATAACGATAATTCCATTTAGAGACATATTTTGCTAAAATAAGAAATAACTCGTCCAACACCCCTAAATCTTTGACGTGTTTGCTGATCATAATATTGCCCTTGCTTTTTAGGCATCTTGTGTGTTGGTAACATTCAAGTGGCTGAATTGGATTGTAAATAAAACCTTCATTCTTACCTATAGATTTCCCTTCTATAGAAAATACTTTTCTCTGAAGTATCTAATATAATGCTCTGCCGCATGGGTGGTAGTTATTCCAATGGTACAATGCATGCTGACGACGGCGAGGCGGTCGATCCAGTACCGCAGCACCTCGAGCTCGCCGGTGAGGGATTGATCTAGAACCCGAACATTTTTGTGTTCTTTGAAAAAAAAAACCTGAACATTTTGTACTTTTCAGGACCTAGAGGTTGAGGTGTCGAGCGTGGCCGTACGGCATTAATATATAGTTTTGTTTGTGGTTTTGAATTATCAACATTGATAACTGATATTATTATGCAAACTAGAAACTTGAGAAAAATATGCACATGCTGCACTACTATTGTTGTTCTAAAAGAAATATTCCTTTGAAAGAAAAAAATATTGCAAAACATGCATATTACCCGCACAAGTAGGCTGAAACTCTGTTGAATCTTCCTCTGCTTTATCTGCAATGCTAAAACAGCGAGAATATCCTTATCGACACATTTTTTCAATGTACATGAGTTATCAAGTTTTACTGATGCAGTGATTCATTATCAGAAATAAAGAGTGATTAGTACTTATGCTTGAAATTTCCTCCATCTTTGTTATGTAAAAGAAATGGAGTGACAAACGGGAAAACAAAAGAGAAAGCTCCTCATGTGTTTATGTATTTCCATCCTGCATATGAACTGTTACCAATATAGGTTCAGACTTTGAGTGGTGATTTAGAAAGTTTTATCTGATCACCAGATCTCACTATTTTGAGTACAGCCTGCAATTTTGGCAAGAATGCTTACATTAAAAAGGGAAACAAAATAAACACATATATTTTAAAATGGATGGAGCTCTATATATTCAAGTTTAATCTTGGCTTGCAAATTTTCATCAACTGTTAACATCTTTTATCCGTTTATTATCATCCAATTTTTATATAATGATAATCACATTAGAGTAATCATAAGTTGTCTATACTATAATTGGTCCCAAAGATGACCTATGAGTCTGTACAACCATGGCATATTTGTTCCTTTGGACTTTGTATCTTTCGATTATTGAATGACACCATCTGGGAGACATCGGATCGAATAACTATTTTTTATTTAAATATAATATAGCTTTCTATTTTACAACAACGCAGACACACATTTATATATTTTCAAGTTAAACCATATTATATTTTCTATTTAAGATCCGTTGCAACGCACGGGCACTCGACTAGTAGAGCAAAGAAGATTGAAGCTAATCAGTTGTACATGAGAAATACGTACTTTGTTTCCGATTCCCAGAAAAAAAAATCTGAGAATTTGTTTTCCAAAAAAATTCCGATTTCGTTTCTCACAGATAGTAGCCTTACCTTGTTTCCATTTTTTGAGAAAAAAATTGAATTCATTTCCGTTTTCAAAAGTTTCGGAAATATTTCCAACTGATACTTTCCGTTTCCAAAAACGTCCGGTATGGAGAAACATTCCGAACCGTTTTCATGCAGGGTAGATCAAGGATAGTGCAAGAAAACGCGATAATAAGAATGAGAGATTAACTCTGGACAACAATATCAGAGTGGCGCAGCGGAAGCGTGGTGGGCCCATAACCCACAGGTCCCAGGATCGAAACCTGGCTCTGATACATTTAAAATTTAATTTTTATAGTTTAGTTTTTTTTCCCTGGAAATATCTCCTGTTTACATTTTTTTCTTTTTCCCTGGAAATATCTCCTGTTTACATTCTTTCTGAAAATCAATTTTATAGTTTAGTTTTTTTCCCTGGAAATATCTCCTGTTTACACTTTTTCTGAAAATATCTCCTAATTTTTGTTGTTTTGTTTTTCCAGTCACTTATGATTTCACGGATAAGTCTACAAATATTTTCTTTTTCTGTTTATTTCAAATCACATACGATTTCACAGTTTAGTGGCAAAAAAAAATGTTGCGGCTAACTCTGTCATGGCTACGCTATTATTTTCAGTTTTTAACATCACAAGATGTGATGAGAACATCGCTAACTCGGATATAACCATGCCTATCTTTTATATTCATCAATCAAAGGTGCATGCTTATTATGTAAGTATTTCATGAGTTTTTTTATCTTATTGTTTGCAGAAATATTTGTATGGGTGAAAGAAAGGGGAGCGTGCATACGAAGTGCTTGCATGATCAATGAAGTTACATGTACTACTACAAAACATCAAACAGATGTGAGCGCTATAGGTGATGGAAGTGCTAAAACCAGCACTTATAGGCCTTTTCCCACCTCCGCGGGTTGAAATCGCAAAAACCAGGCACCTTAAGTAATTATAGGTATCGGTTTTTATTTAGAATCAGAACCTTTAATATTAAAAACCGGCGATGAGCCGACAGGCCCCACCACAACGCGTCGAGGAGATAAGGTCCGCAGCGTCCGCTCGCTCGCTCAAACTCTCTCGTCTCCTCTCGATCTCTCTCGTTCTCTCTGCGCTCTTTCCCCTCTCTCTTGAGCACCCTCTCTTCTCTTTCATCGGAGGCGGCGACTAGAGGAGCGGCGTGCGGCGGCATCGACGGTGTCAGCGGCGCGCGGCGGGAGGAGCGGCGGCTGCCTGGAGGCGCCCTCCCTCCGACAGATCCGGCAGAAGGAAGGGCGGCGAAGGCAGCACCGGCCTCGCAGGGGCTAGGAGGGGCCTGCGCGCCCTCCCCTCCACCAGATCCTGCGGGAGGGGAGGCGCGCGAGGTGGTGGCGAATGGTGTTCAGGCGACAGCGCCTACTTCCCGGATGCGACGGCCCCTACTTCCCGGCGGCCCAACTGTGGGAGGGGAGGCAATTGTGGCCTGATGGCGGCCCGGCGGCGGCGGATCCTCGGGGTGACGGTGGCAGCGGTGGCGGATCTGGTAGACAGCGACGGTGAGCAGTGGTGGAGTTGATTGTTCTTTCAATGTTTGTTGTGTGATGTCTGTGATTGATATTGGTTGATTCGGGAGTTTATAGTCTGTAATTTCTATGATGATGTTGGTTTATTCGTTGTGATGATGTTGGTTGATTCATTGATGTTGTGGATTTGAGATTATGGGGGCAACGTGGGGGGTGGATGCGCTCGATGCATCGAGCTTTTTTTTTTTTTGGCTCACAAGCGCCTCAAAGGTGCCGGTTTTGAAACCGTTACCAATCACTTGGAATCAATAGTGCTGCCTCCCTAGTGCCGGTTCGGAAAACCGACACCTAAGGGGGGTTTCCCAACCAGCACCAAAAGGGTATTATGTAGTAGTGCTGTGGACTAACCAATTATATTGTAGAAATTAAAGTAGCACTATTCACATGTGATAATAGATGATAAGCTTGGATATTTCTCTAGTTTGTTTCCTTTTCTTATTCGATGTATAACGGGGCATGCGGTAGAGGCTGTTTCTACCAATATATAACAAAGGTACAGCCAGAGATAAAGAGTTCAATGCTTCTGGAATTATCACACCAATATCCTTCTCCAAATCTACTCCTATGTCACCATGTCACTTTTGGTCCATAGAAAGTAAGTGATGAAATTCTACACGCTTTTTATTCGGAATCGACCCTCCTAACAGCATCAACATCAAATGGACATAGCTGCTGATCCAGAAGGAATCTCAGCTCCCATCAGTACTTGTTGGAAAGCGTATGGAGTCTACTTTCAGATGGTTTTGGTCACACATCAAAAATTCTCTTAAGTTGTCGGGAATCTGCAGAAAAAAGCCACATACCATATGCAGCCCGAGTCTAATTTGTGCTTTGGGCCTTATAATTGTGTCATGGGCTAAGCCCAAGGTGTGGACGCCCTAAGACTAACTATAGAATGTTCCTAATCATATTAATTTAGTAGCAGTTATAGTTTAGAGTAGGGTTTTACTTAGATTATTTCTGTCATTGCATTTTCGCTGCTAGTTCGGTTTGTGAAACCCCAACTTTGAGATCTTAACCATTCATATGCAAATTGAATTGTAATCTACCTTTGTTCTTGTTTGTGTTTTGTGATTCGCATGTAGGGATTAGCCATCTCGATGAGGTGTTTGAGAAACAAGGAGATTAGCCTTCTCCGCCTAATCTTTACCTGGCAGAAGATCAGACATCCCATTGTGATCAAGATAAAATATTTGAGAAACAAGGAGCTACGTGTAAATGTTTATATCTTTATATATATATATATATATATTATTAATTGTAGTCCTTGCGTAAAATATATTAAATTAGAGTCCACTATAGAAGTCCCCACATTAATTTAAAAGGTATAAAGGTTAAAAATTTCCATATTAATTAGCAGCTACAAATTCTCACATCAATCATTCACTCGAGGGCTCCTGCCTTAAAGATGCTGCTTCTGCAGCCTCCACCTCCCTCACCGACAAGGTCACCGCTGCCTCGCTCTCTCGTTGCTTGTGCCGCCGCACACCCATGGCTTGCCCGCCACTGCCTCTCTTATTACCGAGGGAGAGGTGGACAGAGATGGAAAGCAAGAAGAGGGGAGGGTGGAGGAAGAAATTAAAATGGAACTGACGTGTGGGTCCCACATGCATGGGTATTTTGGTATATATATATATATATATATATATATATATATATATATATATATATATATATATATATATATATAATGACGAAGATGGCATGGTTTTAATTTTATAAAATTCTAGTAGCACGTAACAGGTATCCTGAATAGTAATAGTTTTTTTTTTCAATAACATGAATTTACAATGACATCAATTCAATTAATCCTAATATCTAATAGTTTCTTACAACTCAAAGAGAGTATTCTTCTGAAAATAATGGTAGGTCTGAGTAGGTCCTCACAATCTTACCGAAGTTGTTCCAAGAGATTTCCCTGGTTTGGGGAGTCTCATCTATGTACGTATGTATTAATTTGAGGTGTTCCATATTATTTTACTGATAGAAATATGCATTCGGTAGAATTGATATTATAAAAATGAGTAATAGACATGATTGCTGCTCTGTATTAATGCATGGCCGAATTCATCAGCCAGGAAAGTGGGTTCTAATCCCTCGATACGATGTTCCCTCGCGTACATTTTTCTTGAAAATTCAATATAAATAGTTATAAAAGATTTTAAAAAAATTAACAATGTAAAGTTTAGTGACATCTAGCACTCCAACAAAAATCAAGTTTAAATTCAACCTACAAATCAGGAAATAAATTTGGGTATAAATATAGTACCACTATACTATTCATTTGCTGAATTTATTTAGAGTGAGTTAAGTTTGGACACAAAATTTCATGGTATAAATGTTGTCATTTTTTTATAAAAAATATAACTATTTGGATGGTTTTAGATGAACGAGAACAACATTCCTTTGAGTGGTTTCCTACTTTACGCATATGCGCTAACAAATTAAGTAGCGCACACTTAATCCAAACTCATTTCTTTTCTTTCATTGAAAACTTTCAACTCAAATTTAAAAACTGCCAAGTCAAGATTTGAATACTTTTCAATTAATATTTGATACTTTCAACTTAGATTTAAAAACTTTTAAGTAAATAATTCAAACCTTTTCTACTATATATTTGAAATTTTCAACTCAAATTTCAAAACTGTTAACCAAGATTTTAAAGCTTTAAACTCAGATTTGGAAAAAAAAATCAAGTCAATATTTGAAAACAATAAACTAAGATTTGGAAACTTTCGTCACAAAATTCAAAACGTTCAACTCAAATTTAAAAACTTTGATCTCAAAATTCGAAACGTTCAACTCAAATTCAAAAACTTTCAACTAGAATTAGAGATGAAAGATTCAATTTCTAAAATAAAAAAATAACAAAAAAATTGGCAAAAAAATTGATGAAAGAAAAGAAAACTCGTGAGGGCACGGACATGCCAGCCGTGTGGCATGTGCGCCAGCAAAGGGGTGAGTCTAGTACGCGACTGTTCGCGTCGAGCGAACTTGTGTCTGCTCTTGCTCACAAGTTGCTCCAGCCCACAACTTAGCCTATGCATATGCAAAATCTTCACGGGCCCACTAGTTAGCTAAATCATATCCGGGCCTTTTCTTTTCTCATTTTGACTAAAATCTAACATAAACAATTCTATTTTATACATGTAACTTTATTCGTATAAAGTTTACATATACTAACTTTATACATAGTAATTTTCAGTAACATTTTATATGTAAACTTTACACATGTAAAGTTTATATATGATTTAAAATTCCTTCTCTAAATAATAGTGAAAAAAATATTCAAAGATAAATTTTGCTGTTGTGTTATGTTTTAAAAATGAATACATATTTTGTGATCACAAAATAAATAACAAACTAGAATAAAAAATAATTTCACAAAAGAAACAAAAAAAAGTAAAAATAAGATAAAGATGTCAATTTAAACTACTATAGCCCACAAGGTCCATGTTGTATATCTCCAAATCTAATTAGTTGGTGATCTGAAATTACAGCGATCTAATCAGTTAGTATACAGAAACGATCCGGAAAAGGGGCGTTCGCGTGAACCAATTTCCACGAACGTTCACGTGATAGCTTTTCCGCCAGCAAAGCGAGTTGGCGTAGACAACTCTCGCGTAAAACAGTTTCCTCATCAACCAATATATTTCCCTCATGCCAGTTGCCGTATCTCTCGACCGAACAACAAGCGCGGTCGCATGCAAATCCATCGAGGGTAGGCCTACCAACTATCCTCGTCGTGCATGCCACAAGTATAGCAAAATACTACTTCCATTTATCTATCTACCCTATAATTCACTGGCCAGGGTTTACGATTCCAAGATGGCCTTTCGTTTCGAGCTCTGGCGGAATAACGATTTTCACGAAATCTGGTAGATACCAAACAAATTTCATAAACCAAAATTTGAATACAAATTCCTTGAGTTTACCGATAAGCTCGCGAAAACCAGTCGGCTTTGGCGAAATTCCGAGCGAAATCATCGAGATTTCAATCGATAACTAGAAAAAGAGGTAAACTGATTTTTTCCCTTTTTCTAATTCGTTATTTTTTCTTTTCTTTTCTAGTGTAAATTTCAGTAAATACATGGAATACATCAATTTTTTTGAAAATTTATATCCCAATAGGTTCTACGAATATCATACTATTTATAAGATTTAATTTGATTTTTTTTATCAATTCAAATTTAAATTTTAATGAAACTCATTGAAATCTCATACGGTTTCTGAAATTCAACCGATTTTCGTCGGAACTGTGAACTTGGACCCAGCTAATCCTTCACTCCTAAGCTCTTACATTCAGCAGTCGACGGCCGTGAAAAATGGAACGATCGAGATCATCTCCACCTCTCCCCCAACACCCGCGCGTCCTCATCCCCCAACCCGCGCCCGCACCGTCGCCCCCCAAATCCGCCCTCCTTGCCCCGATTCGCCGCCGGTCTCCTCCCCTCCGCCGCAGATTCCTCCCTCCGTCGATCGCCCCTTCATCACCCAGCCCTCTCACCCTTGCTCCCTCCCTCCCCTAACCCTAATCTCATCCGCGCCGCCGCCGCCGGTACTGCGGATCCCCGATCCGTCGCCCGCCTCCACTCAGCTGCCGCCGCCTCCAAGACGTCGTCACCACCACCTCCATCCGCCACGACGCCCCCACAACCTCCGTCCGCGCCGACCCCACGCTGCCCCACACCGCCCGGTCCTTCGTCGACGCGCCGCCGTTGCGGGCACCGCCCCCGCCCACATCGCCGCCTCGCCCCAACTGCTCCGCCCCACCGCGCCGCGCGGGTGCTCCCAATCCTCGCCGCCGCTGGCCCCGCGCCGCCGGGGGGTGGGCGGCGATGGAGGCATAGACCGGCCCGCCGCGACGGGTAAGTCGTCGGTGTCCCCCCCCCCCCTTCCCGGCCAGATCCAATCCGGCAGCTTCGATGCCGGGTTTCTGTGGTCGCGTGTCGGCAATCTGCGATTAGATCTTAGGTTGTTCGGGGGTCGGTGGCTGGGATCGGGCGGTTTGGTGTGGTGGAGGACGCGATCCTGGGTGCTGGAATCGAGGGGAAGCTGGCGTGTTTGGGGGCGGGCGCGTTGCTGCGATCCTTGAGTTTTTGCCTATGGGTGGTAGTGTGTAGCCGGGAGTTCGTCGTCGGTGGTGACCTGTTTCTGTTGTAGTGTCGGTGGGATGATGCATATGAATACTAGCAGTTTAACGTGGGGGCACTGAGTTAGTATCAGGATTTAGGGAAAACCTGGTTTAGCATGTGAGTTGATTTGCAGATATTACTGATATTTATATAGTGTTAATATATTTCCTAAGATTAGGAATTTAGGATGCATCTATTTTCTTCAATGCTAGTGTTGCATTGGTGTTGTAGGAAAGTTTTTCTTATGCCTGATAACGAGAGTGTTGTTAGTTAGTGCGGAGCATCTTTCAAATTTTAGCTTTATTCATATGTGGTTTACCACGTTAGTATATTCTAACTATGGAATTTTCTTGCAGGCAGAGGCGGTGCAAAGGCGCTATTGAATTAATTTACTCTGGTTATTTATGCTGCATCCTTATGACTTCTGTTTGCCAAGATTCCAACTGCTTATTTGCCCTTACCAGTGAGATCTTATAATAATTGCCACCCTGACTACAAAGAAGCAACTATGCGGCTGTCTTCTTCACTTCAAGATTTGCCTACGTTCTCAAGAATTGATGCATTAGAAAGGGGCTCTAGCACTGGTAGTGATTTGGTCTCAGGGCGTGCAAAACCTATCCGCACACTTCAAAGAGATGGCGCTGTTGCAAGCTTTTCAAAAGAGAAAACACCCCCCTCATCACCAACAAATCGAAAGAAATGCATGAGAGCTGCTGGTTGTGCTATTGCTCTGTTCCTTTTGGTGTTCTTTATATATGCTTCTTTGAGATATTTCCATGTCTTTCTCTCGGAAGGAAGCCCTGAATACTATGTTATTCTTGATTGTGGAAGCACTGGGACAAGAGTGTATGTTTACGAATGGTCTGTTAACCATGACGATGGAAACACATTTCCTATTGCTTTGAAACCCTTAGGAAATGCTCCTAAGAAAAAATCTGGTAAATTAACTGGGCGAGCCTATCAGCGAATGGAGACTGAACCTGGGTTGAACAAACTTGTTCACAATGAAACTGGATTAAAGATGACAATAGAGCCCCTCCTTCGAATGGCTGAGAAGTTGATTCCTAGACGTGCACACAAACACACGCCTGCTTTTCTATATGCCACAGCTGGTGTGCGCAAGCTACCGAGTGCAGATTCTGAGTGGCTTCTGGACAAGGCTTGGGATATTCTGAAGAATTCATCGTTTCTGTGTTCTAGAGACAGAGTCAAGATTATCAGTGGCATGGATGAAGCTTATTATGGATGGATAGCTCTTAACCATCATTTGAATATGCTTGGCACCTCATCTTCTAAAATGACATATGGTTCACTTGATTTAGGTGGATCATCATTACAGGTGACATTTGAGACTGATAATTCCATTCAGGATGAAACAAGTATGAGTCTAAGGATTGGTTCTATCAGTCATCAACTTAGTGCTTATTCTCTGTCTGGTTATGGGCTAAATGATGCATTTGACAAATCTGTTGCACATCTTGTGAAGAAGTTGGGAGGGGCAGCTGGTAATGGAAAAGTTCAGGTTAAGCATCCTTGTCTACAAACGGGATACAAAGAAGATTATATTTGTTCTTACTGCCACCCGCTCAAACTAGATGGAAGTCCCAGTGTTGGAGGGAAGACAACAGGCAAAGAGAAGCAGGGAATGGCAGTTGAACTGATCGGGATGCCTCAGTGGAACGAATGTAGTGCCCTTGCAAAATTAACAGTGAATCTTTCTGAGTGGTCCAATGCAAGCTCAGTTGACTGCAACACTAAACCTTGTGCTCTTCCTAGTACCTTTCCGCAACCACATGGGCAGTTTTATGCTATGTCTGGTTTCTATGTGGTTTTTAAATTTTTCAATTTGACTGCCGATGCCACTCTCATTGATGTTCTAAATAGAGGCCAGGAATTTTGTGAAAAAACATGGAAGGTTGCAAAGAGTAGTGTTCCACCACAACCTTTTATAGAACAGTATTGTTTCAGGGCTCCTTATATTACATCACTTCTGAGAGAGGGGCTGCAGATCAAAGATAACCAGGTGATAATTGACTCTGGTAGTATAACTTGGACTCTTGGGGTTGCTTTGTTAGAGGCTGGACAGGTGTTGTCTACACGAATCGATATTCAAGGATACAGAATACTCCACCGAGAGATAAATCCAAATATTCTTATTGTGTTGTTTCTGATTTCAATTGTGTTAGTCATATGTGCCATATTGTGTGTCAGCAATTCAATCCCAAGATCATTCCGCAAGTCTTATCTGCCACTTTTTAGGCAGAACAGTGCAGGCAGTCCTGTGCTTAGCATGGGATCACCTTTCAGATTTCATCTATGGAGTCATATTACTTCAGGTATGTATTGAGTTTTTTTTTTCCTTGACATTGCTGTTACTTTAAGGTGTTTCCTCATGTAAAAAGCATCTATTGTCTGTGGGGTTGGGACTTAAATTCTAGAAGCACAAAATTTTTACCCTGACAATTCTGTTGATACTATATGTACCATTTCTTTTTCTTTAGTAGACGTATAGCCATTGGTTGCTCTGCTTTTTTGGAAAACCAAATAAAGTGTTATACTATATGTCTACTATATACTATGCATCATCTCTTTAATTTTAAACAATCAAACATCTTTCCATTCTAAAAAAGCTGCTTCTTTTTTCTTTTTATATTAATTATTATGTTGGACTGAACTTTTTAATTATTTAATATACTATTATAGAAAAGTAGTTTTTGTTACTTAACTCTATTAACAATGAAGGCACAATAGTATGGAAAGAGATTTCTTTCATTATGTGAAGTCAAACTATCCTGCAATTTCTGTGTGGCTGTTGCACTCGCCTTTTGTTTTCTGTAGCTTGAGGTTCCGTCCTATAGACAAAACTTTTAAATTTGCTTCGTATTGCCATTCTCTTCACAGGTGATGCAAGAACAAAGACACCTCTGAGTCCTACTGTTGCTGGGTCAGAGCCCCATCCATTCAGCATGAGCCATGGATTAGGAGGCAGCAGTGTTCAGCTTATGGAGTCCTCCAGGCAGTCATTGGGCGTCTATCACAGCTATTCTGTTGGAAGCTTAGGTCAGATGCAGTTTTCTAGTGGAATGTGGAAGCCAGGTCAAACAACACTCCAAAGTCGGAGATCCCAATCGAGAGAAGATCTCACTTCGTCACTAGCCGATCTTCATCTTCCAAAGGTGTAGCCTTACATTTCAGAATGACATGACTAGTATGAGAATACCATCCCATAACAAACCTTGTGTAAATAATAGCTCCGGACTATTTGATTTCTTCTCTAATCAAAAGTCAAATTTTGTCGGTATACTGACACTTCAGTGAGATCTAGCATTCACAGAATTGGAGGTATGACTTGGTGCCTGCTGCCTAGTCCTGGGCATGATATTTTCATTACGATGTATGCGCAACAGTACATGTCACAAGGTGAAATTGCAAGAAGAAATTTATATGGTTCACCAAAGTGGTTGGCCGTGGGCTGGAGGTATATAAATCAGCTCCTAGCCCCAAAATGTCACTGTTTCTAAATTGTGATATCAATTCAACCGAGCAGGCTGTGTACTTCAAATGTTTCTTATTCTTTTGTTCTACAACATAATAAAGCTGCCTATGGGCTATGGTCTTGTGTCTGTAGAATTGCTGTACGACACCATGTAAGAGTTTTCCCTTGTGGAAGGACATTTGGTACCAACAGAAAACATGAATTATTAGTAATTCCAGTGCTCTTATGTTTACTCATTCAATTATGTCGATGTACAATGCACTACTTGGACTCTGCTAACTGATATGAATTTCGGTGCTTTTTGCTAAACGCATTTGTGTAACTTGATCGCTTTCACATGGTAGTAAGACACGAAAAGGTACAATAGTTTAGAAAGAGCGCGTAAGAAAAAATTGCATGATTTTGAACATCATGTCATATTTCTTCTGAAATTTTCTACGGAGCAAATCCTTTCATAGGCCAAAAAAACAATTTTAATTGGAAATTTGGAATGGTTAATTGATTATATATGTCCGAGGTGAGAAAACAAAAATAAAAATCATGCCCCACCTACACTTTATAATACCGTTCATTTTATCCCCTAAGCTTGATTTGAATGTTGTTGGTCTTGCGTATTTAAAAGCTAAAACGAGCTGCCTCGAATAGCTAATATAACAGATATAAAACTCAACTAAATTATATACTTCCTCCGTTTCACAATATAAGTCATTTTAGCATTTTCTACATTCATATTAACGTGTCTAGATTCATTAACATCAATATGAATGTAGAAAATACTAGAATGACTTACATTATGAAACAGAGAAAGTACAAATTAGATAAAAATAATTATGCAAAACCATGTTATGAGCTTATATAAATGGTATTAGAAAATTCAGGGAGTTGAACTAGAAAGCAAGAGCGGCTTCGACGCGCATATTTGGTGATGGGCCATTATTTTCGCCATGTAAAGTGTAGATGAGCCAGTCCAATTAGACCCAATGTATGAATATATGAATGTTCTTATTATTAGAAAAATAGTCCGCAAAGAGACTTTAATCATCTAAAAATATAAAACAAGCGAACAGATATACGAGCATTGTACAGTTTCTGTAATGATCATCTCTAAACATAATATCCTCACTTTTCAAACCATCAATAATACAATTTGTTAGATCATTCCTTCAATCCAACAGCAAACGGAGCATCCCATTGTGTGGCTCTCAAAAAAATGAGCTGCAACTATAGCTATTTAAGGATTCCCCATAAGCGGTGGGAAAAGGTTGGTCTTTCATGTTTCTACTATCCGTTGCTGGACAATACTCCTGGACGATCATCGCGGAAATTGTATTGCTCATAAATCTTGAACAGCATCTCCCTGCAGGGGACACCAGCTCTATCTTGACGTAAGCTAGGAATGCACTTGACAACTTTCTACGGAGGTGGTAAACTTCAACCTGCAGTGGTGTCGGGTGAGCCCCCTCAGCATCTCCGTGCTGCCGCCTCTTGCGGCGGTGTGGACTGCCCTGATTATCATCTCCAGCCTAAACACCAAGGAGCGTTCACCGCAACCGGCCGTTCGAGCCTTCCCCGTCCGCCCGGTACCGCGTCACGCCGGCGAATCCGGCATTGTCGTCCCAGAGAGCCTCCAGGCGGGGGATCCGACGGAGTGAGGTTAGTCGATATGCAGTAGCTGCTGGACGACGTCATAGTGGTCGTCCGCCGCAGCGAGCCAAGTCGATCGGCGAGGTGTACGACCACTGTTTGCCGGTGCTCTCCCACCGCAGGGATCGATAGAACGGGAAGAGTCAAGAGACTTCCAGCCGGCGCGCAGCCCTCCCACTTGAGAGCTGCGCCAGGGAAGCGGACGGGCGGCAAGGGAGCGAGGAGACGAGGAGGAGGCGACAACGCTCAGCTCGCGAGATGCGGAGGCGCGGAGAGGTGAAGTGACGATGGTGGAGCTGTGGGCTAGGGATTTTAGGGGATGGGGATTGGCGAGGGAGGCGCACTGATGTGGAGTGGCGGTGACCAACGCCGGTGACGGCTTGTGAATCGGCGATTCGGCGGAGGAGAAAGCGGCGAGACGAGGGGAGGAAAGGATTTCTCTGGAATCTGGATGATGGATGCCACATTTTGAGATAAACTCCCTTGGAAGATTAAAATTTATAAATAGATCCTTTTGTGGATCTCTCCCGTTGATTTCTAATCCAACGGATGCGCGCACGACTCGAACCCTGGAATCGAGTGAAGCCACGTGGCGGGGCTAATCGCTCGAGAACGGGCATGAAATTCGATAGTAAGAGATATCCGATTTCAAAGTACACGGTGCTTAATGAACTTCCAATCAAAGTTTAGAGGGGTAGTTGGATTTTTTCCAAAGTTACAATAGTTTAGAACTTCATGTCATATTTCCTCTGAAATTTTCTACGGATCAAATCCTTTCATAGGGCCCCTAAAAAAAATTTAATGCTCATCGGAATGATTATATACGTCCAAGGTGAGAAAACAAACTAAAAATCTACTGGCAAATTGGCCCGAAATTTTTTTTTTTTAAAATAGGAGGCCTTGGACCTGTTCACACAATGAATGACATGGTGGGCCGGGAACTGGCCTAGCCGCCTCGTAGTCTCTCACCAAACCTCACGAGGACTGTGGGATTATACCCATCACCCCAACACGAATCTCAGCGCGCACCACGCTAACCCTAAATCGCTGAGATTTGCTACTATAGAATCTCCCTCGTCTTCCTTCCTCACTCCACTTTCAGCCGCCGCCGTCATTGAAGCCCTCCTCTCGCATCGCCGTTCGGAGATCTCTCGGCCTCTCCCTCCGCCGCCATGGGGTGTGTGCAAAAGATCCCTTCTCTTTCGTCCATTGTAGTGGTTTCTGCAACGATCCGTTGCGTTCGCTCGTGTTAACATGTGTCTTCACTAGAAGCATTTTCTCTATCTCTTTGCCTTAGTTTGTAATAAGAAGTGTAGCTATGGGCCATGTTTGGTTGATTCGTTTGTTGTGTGTTCTTGGATTGGTAGAGAGTGAGATTGCGGTAGATGTAGGTAATGTGAGCTTATTGATGGTCCAGTGCTGGTCAGATTTGACACCGTCAGTGATAAACATTTTCATAAGCGATATTAATTCTTTGCTGCTGTGTAATCACCCGTCCCTTGGTTTAAATGCTTGAATCTGAGAACCTATGCATGGTAGCATACAATATTTTTGGTGTTAGGAGCCTGTCAAGAACTTGATCTTAGTTTCTGCCAGTTTTCTTGCTCCAAATTATTTGAAATGGGATTGTGTCTTAATTAACACTGAAGATGGTCGTGTGGTTAACACTGATGATGGTCATGTGGGATTGTTCTGCCGCAGATGGCTACAGATGATGGTAAAAAAAAATTTTCTACAAATATTTCATTTTGCAGTAGCTTTTTTTTTTTGAGAATTTAGAGCTTTATTGAACTTAGAAGCATAATACATCAACCAAAGATACATTCTCCATAAAAGGAGAAGATTCCAAAGCTGTCTTAGTCGGACAGTCAGAATGGGAACATAAGTGGGAAATATTTTGACAAACTATTTGATTCAGATTTTGTCTAGATTTATTCCTTGCTTTTTTTGCTAGAAAGTCAGCCATCTTATTAACTTGTCTTGAAATCCATTTGATGTTAAGAGCCTGTGTTCCTGCAAGGGAAATAAGATCTTAAAGTAAAGGGTTTAAGCTCCAATAATGTTCGTGAGAATAATAGTCTTGAACCTGCAAAAGGCTAACTAATTCCTGATTGTCTAAAAGAAGAGTAACATCAATAATATTTAACTTTTGACAAATCAAAATGGCTGTCATGATTGCTGCATGCTCAGCTTGTAAAGGAGAGGAGAAGAAATTAGAAGCAGCTTGAATAAATAGGGCTTTATGAGTATCAGAGTTATGGATGAAGATTCCAATACCAGTATTACCATCCTGCCAGGAGGCATCAGTATAACAGCGAATTACTGAAGCAGAATTGAGAGAAGTCCAGCTGTTAACATCATGATTTTGAGATTCATGATCTTCATCAATAGTATCAAGACAAGAAATAAAGTTTGAAGACATGATTTGAGCTGCAAAATTAACCTGAATGGGTTCCCAGTTTTTCTTTTTAAAGTAGAAGTCATTTCTAGCTTTCCAAATCATCCAAAGAAGAATAGAAGCTTTTTAAAGGCTTAATTCAGAGTTGTTTGTAGCTAGAACATAGGCTAAGATATCACTGATGTTTTGCATGGATGCAATGATGATTGTATCTAAATGAAATTCAGACAGTTTCCAAACCAGATTTGCAAAAGCACATTGAAAAAACAGATGAGCACAAGATTCAGACAAACTACAACGAGAGCAGGAGTTTGAAATAGTAGGAATTCTGAAGTTCAAATTTTTTGCAGTTGCAAGAGCATTTCTGAGAAGTCTCCAAATAAAGGTTTTAACTTTTGGAGGAATAAATTTGCATTTCCAAGTTTTCTTTAAAAGGTTTAATTGCAAATTTGAAATATTAGCAGCAGGTAACATAGAGTTGGTTGATAAGACTTTATAAGCACTTTGAGAAGTACAAATACCTTTTGAGTTATGAATCCAGTAAAGTTTGTCATCAGTATTAGAATGCACAATTGGAGTTTTTAAAATTTCATTTGAAACTTGGGGATCAAAGATTTGAGACACTTTGGAAATATCCTATTCTTTCCTATCATTCCAGAGATGAGAAACTTTTGTAGGTAAATAAAGAGTCATTGCAGAATCAGTAATATGATTAGGAAGGGATTTCCAAACAGAACACCAAGGTTGATTCCAGATTGAGATATCACCTTGAGAAAGTTGCCATATGATAGAATTATCCAAAAGATGTCTAATTTTCAGAATAGAACTCCAAAAAGTAGATTTAGGAATTTTTGTTAAAGCTTTCCAAAAGGAGCCCTGAGGGAAATACTTTTCTTTTAGGATCTTAGAAACCAAGTTATTTGGATTTTCAATAATTCTCCAAGCACATTGAATAAGAAGACTTTTTTTAACAGTTAGTAAATATCTGATTCCCAAACCTCCTTGATCAAAAGGTTTACAAATGTCAGACCAAGATTTCCAACAAATACCTTTTTTACTGTCTTCATCATTGGTACCTGTCCACCAGAATTTCCTGATAATGGCAGTTAATTTATATAGAAGTTTTTTGGAGTGTAAAATGGTAGACATATAGAAAATAGGGATGGAAGCAAACACAGATTTTATTAAAGAAAGTCTACCAGCATGGGATAAAGTTTTTGCTTTAATAATTGACAGCCTGGTTTTGAATTTTTCAATGATAAAGTTGTAGGCAGAGTTTCTGGCTTTAGTATTTAGAATGAGAGGATGACCAAGATGTTTGGAATTGTTGTTCATTAAGGAGACAGGGAAAATGGATAAAATATCTTGAGTGACACTGATAGGATAGGAGTATGAGAGCTGAACAGAATAGAAGATTTATTCCAACCTGGAGTTTGACCTGATTGATGGCAAAAAAATTGAATAATTTGGAAGATGCTTCTAGCTTCTTCAGGAGTGGCTTGACCTACAATCATAAGATCGTCAGCATACATTGAAGAGTGAGGTGGTGTTTAGATCCAGGGACTTAACTTTAGTCCCTGTCTTTAGACACTAATTTAGAGTATTAAATATAGACTACTTACAAAACTAATTACATAAATAAAAGCTAATTCACGAGACAAATTTTTTAAGCCTAATTAATCTATAATTAGAGAATGTTTACTGTAGCATCACATAGGCTAATCATGGATTAATTAGGCTCATTAGATTCGTCTCGCAAATTAGTTCAAGATTATGGATGGGTTTTATTAATAGTCTACGTTTAATATTTATAATTAATTTTCAAACATCCGATGTGATAGGGACTTAAAAGTTTTAGTCCCATCTATACAGGGCCGGAATAATGGTACCATTTGGAGTTAAAGAAGCTCCTTTGACTTGACCTGTTTGAATTGCATTAGATATCATTTCAAATAGTTCATTTAATGCAAGAATAAATAAATAAGGAGATAAAGGACAACCTTGTCGTATTCCTCTTTCAGCTGAAAAGTGACCATATGACTGGCCGTTAAGATTGACAGAGAAGTTTGCCGAATTAATGCAAGCAAGGACAAGATTTATAAAATGACCATGAAACCCTTTACGACGAAGAGCCTTCTCAATAAAGTTCCATTCTAGACGATCAAAGGCTTTTGCAAGATCAAGTTTCAGCAGAAAAGCATTTTACTTAAAAGATTTTAAATTGAAAGAGTGAACTATTTCTTGGGCAATAATAAGATTATTTGCAATGCGACGACCTTTTATAAAAGCTTGTTGAGAATCTGAAATTAAATCAGGAAGAACACTTTTGATATGATCGGCCAAAGATTTAGAAATGATTTTATAAGAAACATTGCAAAGACTGATTGGCCTAAAATCAGCAGGAGAAGTAGGATAATTTTTTTTAGGAATAAGAGTAATATTAGTATCATTCATACCTTTTGGAAATTGGCCTGAAACATAAAAGTCTTGAACCGTTTGAGTGATGTCAGATTTAATCCAAGGCCAAGAAACTCTATAAAAACCAACATTAAGGCCATCAGGTCCAGGAGACCGATTAGATTGTGTTGCTTGTAGTACACTGTACCATTAAATTTCACTTCTCTTGATTTGTGGGCATTTTGCAGGGAATGTTCCATTTGCCACGTTATGTGCTCTTAGCTTTAGAATGAGTGTTGGGGCATTAGCAATGCGTCCTGTTTTTCCGAGGAGCCTAAACAGCCACGTACAGAAAACAGCGAAGCTCCTCCTCTCCACAATGCGGCATGGATTCAGGTGGACCCCACCAAACATTTTCCTATGCGAGCCCCATCACTAAAATTACTTTTTTCGGCGAGCTTCTCCCCCTTCTCTCTTTGTAATTACCTTTTTTTCGGTGAGCTTCTCCCCCTTCTCTCTTTGTGTCATGCTTTCTCACGTGCAGATGCTGAGATGCGATTGAAAAAGCTGTTTTCTTCTGACGAGGCTCTCGGACACGCGAAGCTAGTGAAGACATGGGCCCCACCTCCTTTTCTTCTCCACGTATACAATCAGTCTAGTTGGAGAGTTGAGGCCAAATGCCATGTAGATGCATTGTGAATGACCTTATATTCTTGTTATCTATAGCATCTTAAAAAGACAGCAACCGTAGTGTCCGTTTCCGCGACTGCCAGACTAGGCCCGCATTGTCAGTGGGAGAGGGAGCGGATCAGGCCACGCGCGTGTGAGGTAGATAGGCGGTGGGATATGTGCGGCCTGCGGGGAAGGAGGGGGTGCCAGATCGGAGTGGGAGAGAGAGAGAGAGTAGAGGAAACAAGAGAGAAGTGGGAGAGTGACGGAGAGCTCCTGATCACCAAGCGGGCGCTGGATCAGCCCCTCCCGTCGCCGTCACTGATGGATCCATGCGTGTGGGGAAGGCAAAGAGGCGGCTGGATCTATCGACGAGAAGGGGGACAGATGAGGGCGGGCGCACCAACTGCTGGAAGACGGCCACGTCAGCACCGTCGTTGGCGCGCGCTACGGCGGTGCGGGTGCTGGCCACGGACCCAGATCCAAGCGGCGTGGCGTGTGTGCGATGTGATGTGAACGGGGAACGAGTGCGGGCGTGGTCGTGTGGGGCAGTGAGTGGACCGGGGTTAGAGTTAGCAATCAGGGTTAGGCATGATGATGGGCTGCTGGGCTGTTCGTGGGCTTCTATGCCTTGTGCAAAGATCATGTGGCCAAAAAAACGTCAAATGCCAGGAAAAAAATCACGCGGGAGATGTTTGGCAAAATCGTAAGACGTAGCATTTGTCTTAAGTTGGTCCTGAAATTTCATTGCAAGAAAACATGTGGTATGGGAGCTGGGCGCAAGCTCAAGACCCACCGCAGGAACCAAAGATGGGCCGACAAGGCATACAAGAAGAGCCACTTTGGCAATGAGTGGAAGAAACCCTTTGCTGGATCATCTCATGCCAAGGGCATTGTTTTGGAGAAGATGTACGCCTGGACAACACTCATGCTCAATTTTATTACTCATGCTTTCTTAACTTGAACTAGTTTCCATCTGTTTCATTATAGTGGTATTGAGGCCAAGCAGCCAAACTCTGCCATCTGTAAGTGTGCTCGTGTTCAGCTGGTGAAGAATGGGAAGAAGATTGCTGCCTTTGTGCCGAATGACGGTTGCTTGAACTTCATCAAGGAAAATGTATGTGTTTCTTTTTTTTAGAAGGGTATTTCTTTAACCGGCCTCTACATCCAACTGGATATATGCAGCCTTTTTAATTTTAGAAACATAGCTTATCAAATAGGGAATTTAGCCCTCAAATAATCCAATCTGAAATTCGATCCTATGGAGATTTAAACTTAGGACCTTGGGGTGCTACTCAGGTCACTGCAACCACTAGGCTACATGCCCTTTTAAAAATGTATGTGTTTCATAATCACCACTCACTGAAATAGTTTATCTAAAATGGCATTTCATGGATTTTCTCTTACATATTTTAGGCATTGAACGTGCAGACTAATAATCAAGTCAAAACTCGTCGGCCCTGCGACCACCGTGCCGATGCATGAGGCCCTTGAGTCACTCCTTGTGCCGCCACCTGCCACCTCCTTGCCGCCCGTCACATTGACGCCTGGGACCGCCGTACAAACGCCTGCTACTAACGCGTCGTGGCCTGGGAGCCCTGCACCTCCGCTTGGGAGCAGCCGCCTGGGACCGCCGCACGAACGCTTGCTGCCGCCACGCCACTGCCTAGGACCGCCGCGCCACCACCTAGGGGCCCGTGCCGCCGCCTGGGACAGCCGCGCCTGCGAACGACGCGCTGCCGCCCAAGGGCCCTGCGCCGTCGCCTGGGAGCGCCACCTCGCTGCCGTCGCCTGGGACCGCTGTGCCGCCGCTTAGGACCGCCGCGCTTGCGGCCGACGCGTCGCTGCCTGGGGACCCCGCGACGCCACCTGGGAGCCCCGTGCCGCCATCTGGGAGCGCCGCCTCGTCGCCGTCGTTTGGGAGCCCCACGCCGTCGCCTGGGACCGCCACGCGTTCGCTTGGCGGCCATCTCGCCGCCGCCTGGGAGCGGCCGTCTCACCACCTGGGACCGCCGCACGAACGCTTGCTGCCGACGCGCTGCCGCTTGGGAGCCCCGCGCCGCCGCCTGGGGGGCCCACGTTGCCGCCGCCTGTGAGCGCTGCCTCGCAATTGTCGCCTATCGGGAGCTGGATTGGGTTAGTATAATTTGGAGTTAGGGCAATTTGGTTATTTTTGTAAATTTTTTTCGTTCTAACAGTGTGGACTAACGGTGTGATGGCATTTTCAAAAGAAATAGGCTTGTATGACGGCATTTTCAGGAAGTTGCGTATGTCGATGGCATTTATGGGATTAAAGTGCTTGTCGATGGTATTTCATAGATTTTCTCATGATTTTGTTTCAAATGTCAGACGGGATAGTAAACACCGTTACGTTGCACTTGAATACTTTCCTTCGATTGGAAACACTATTAGACTATTAGTAAATATACGGAGTCCGAAGCTAGCGATTAATCCACGCGTGCATGCTAAGCTAATTAATTAATCACTCCGACTCCGATTCGTAATCCGACACGAATGAAGGAATTAGCGCTATATAGGTATGTATACAGTGCAACGGCGTTGCCCTGTCTTTCATCATCGACCGGTGAATCGCGATTCTTCATCTGAATCCTCACTTGTCGTCGCCGTAGCTCTCAGCTCGAGCAGATTGAGAGGTCGCGATGGATCAGGAGGTGATCATGGCGACGCCACCGCTGCCGCCGCCGCCTCGCGCGAGGTGCATCGTCCGCCTCAAGCTGCCGCCGGCATGGACGCCGGAGGAGGACGCGCGGCTGCAGCGCCTCGCCAAGGAGAACGGCTTCCGCCGCTGGAGCCGGGTCGCCAGGAGCATGCCACGCCGCTCCGCTAGGTCGTGCCGCGACAGGTGGCGCCACCACCTCGCCCGCGCGACGTCTACCACCGCCCCTTCACCGCCCGCGACGACGACGAGCTCCTGCGCCTCCACTACCGCCTCGGCGACCGCTGGAAGGAGATTGGCCGGGCCGTTTACGGCCGCACATCGCGCGTCATGAAGCACCGCTGGAGGGAGCTCCGGCGCGGCGGCTTCCTCGCTGCTGCCGCAAGGAAGGAGCTGGCGGCGCTCGACATGGCGGACGACATGGTGGAAACTAGCGAAGTGGAGGAGCCAGCTGATCAGTCGCTGCCGTCGCTAGAGTTGCAGCGCAGTACCCTTGCGGACACTCTTGCCTCGAGCTTCGGTTCTTGCAGCCTTGCCACTGACCACGTGATGGATCCCCTGGCCGGCAGCCTCGCGCTAGGGTTCGCGTGCATGGCAGTTTGATGAAATCTAGCTACTGGCCTATTTTGTACTCTGTAATGATTTTCCTTGTTTTAGCTGTACAACCTTTTAGTTGGTCATGTACTGATGTACAAACAATATTAATTCCAATCATCTGGTCATGACGATTATGTTGTTTTACAATAATATTCATATAATGGTATGGCAATAAGGCATTAATATGAGTATATGACTATTTTTGTGTAACCTATTACCTTAAACGCAATGTAATATGCATGTCTCGTGCGAGGTGCGATATAACAGCAAGAGGAAAGTATGATTAATGCAAAATTGAGTTGTGTAGCAATTTTTTCTGAATTAAATGACAAATGGGCTAGATTAGCTAGCTTACTCCCATTTTGTATTCTATCTCTGATACATCCTGGAGCTATACATATAAACAGGAATAGGACTATTCCGTTGATCTCAGGGGTCAGAACTTATATAAGAATCTCTCTATCCCATGTCCCTATTCTCATCTCATGTATACCCTAGTACCAATATATCCTATACTCCTAAATCTCCTTATTCCAATCTTACCTATACTACTAAAGACCTAAACTATCTCCCTATTCCAATCTTGCGTATACCATAGTGTCAACATTTCCTATATTCCATTTTCATGTATAACCTTTCGACAATAATGGCACCCAAAGCGCATCCCCTCTCGAATGCGTACTGCTCACTTTGATGAATTTCAAATAAATTCAAAAAATAAGTTTGAAAAAAAAGAAAATACCAATTCTTTACTATTATAAAAATTGAAGATGTTTTTACCGGTACTTTGGTACGTCATCCTTGGTTGCCTCGCCTCGTCAAGGAGAACGGCTTCCGCCACTGGAGTAGGGTCGCCAGGATCATGCCACGCCGCTCTGCAAGGTTGTGCCGTGACAGGTGGTGCCACCACCTCGCCCGCGACGTCTACCACCGCCCCTTCACTGCCCGTGACGACGACGAGCTCCTACGCCTCCACTACCGCCTGGGCGACTGCTGGAAGAAGATTGGCCACGCTGTCTACGGCCGGACCTCGCGAGTCATGAATCACCGCTGGAGGGAGCTCCGGCGCAGCGGCTTCCTCGCTGCTGCTGCAAGGACGGAGCAGAAGCTCGACATGGCGGACGATATGGTGGAAAGCGAAGTGGAGGAATCAGATCAGTCGCTGCCCACTACTAGGAAAAGCATTATCGCAACCGGCCGAAAAGGGTCTTTGCAGGCGGGGCAGCCGTCCGCCTGTAAGCCAACGACTGTGAAGATCGCCGATCTTCGCAGGCGGGGCGGCCGTCCGCCTGCGAAGATAATTTTCGCAGGCGGACGTTGGCTAGTCCGGTCCGCTTGCGAAAAGAAGAATCGGCCGCCTACAAAAAAAAACTTCCGCCTGCGAAGATAGGTAGAAAATATTGAAATTTAATAATAATTTGCCCGTAAATTACTTTTAAATTATTGAATAAAAATTCTTGGAGGTAGATTATTATGTACATATATTGGAAGATTATCAAGCATTTGGTACTGATAAATGTACATATATTACATTACTCAAAAGTGTTGCCAAAATATATATATTACAATATTTTTTTACATTGTCACTTCAAATACGCCATCTATTTAATACATTATGGCATAGCATTGTTCCACTCCCGAAGATCCTTGAATTCATCACTTGTGGCTAGGGCACTCTCTTGGTCGAAGAAATCTCCTTTCACATGACAGCACTCATGGTGGATGAAGTGGCACATATCACGTTAGACATTTTTGATGCCTGTATCGTCAAAACTTGTTCGACATTCTAATCTTGGCAACTGCATGCATTGAAGATAAACAATATATTAGTATCATAAATATGTGAAGCTGTCTAGCACATAGTATAGAGACTTACATCCTCCGCGTTAATCCTGTACCTTCCATTAACTCTAAGGAATTCGCAAGCGTAATACCCGCAAAGGACCGTTCCTCGCGGTTGCTTGTGACACTTCAGGACATATCATAAAAGAATAGTTAAAATTTGCAATTAGTGAAACAATTGGTAGCGGGTGGAAGGTCGGAGAAGCCAGTCTTCAGTGGTGCTTCCATGGCAGTTACATTAAGTGAGTGGAATATTACCGGTCAATAGGTACGTACTAGCAGCTTCTCCCTTGTTCGGGTTTGTTCTCCACCCTTGAACTTGTAGTACTGGTACGCACTATATGGATGTTGTACCGTTTCATATTAAGGAGGATATTTATTTATAATACATTCATATAAAAATGCAAGAGTCATAATCACTTACTACTGTAAGATTGTTAGAAATTCTTTGTATGATTGGTGTTTGTAATTGAGAGGGTCCAAGACTACCACGGTTCCGTCTTTAGGGTGGATGAGTAAACAGATATAATGATCGCTACATATTAACAACAACATAGTTAGTTAGTACCAGCTAAAATAAGACATATGTGCAGAAGATAAATGTACCGGACTTACTTAAAATTATAAGCGGCCATGACGACTCTCTTATTTTGAAAGTGCAAGAAGGCTCGTCCAATGTACTGTGTGACAGTAATCAATTTCTCCTTGTGCAAGCCCTTCTTATATTCAGCTATCTCTTTTGGATTCATGCCCTTCAGTTGGTCATACCCTGGTGCTAGCCTCACGGTATGTTGTGTTTGGCAGATCCGAGTTGGATTCAAGAAGCCGATAGGTTCTTTTTTCTTCTTAGCATCCATGTATTGCATCCTGCAGAAGAAGTTTGTTAGTAACAATCACATGGATTTGTATTGTACATATTTTTCATATAATTAATTAAAACTCATACTCACATGCACCAAACACCGACGTAGTTGACGTCCATCTTATCCCGACGATATATG